GTGTGCGCCTCGACAAATAGCGTGTTGTTGCCGAAAATGCGTGTGACAATAGGCGGCAACGTTACAATCCGACCACTGCGATGCTCTTTTCGTCCCTCTAGCCCCGTTCCCGTCCCGCTACTTTTCTCTCGTGCTCTGGACAGTACGTACTATGTATAAGGGGAAACCTTTGAATTTTTCCCGAGTACAGTAGATATTCTATATACGCAAATCTTTCGGGTCTGAGATTTTGCGTATATCGTACAGGTCTTACATTGATTGATGTCTTGCCGAACGTAGAAAAGGACAGAAGAGAAAAATAACACGGTGGCCGTTTGCGTATATCGTAAAGGTACAACATTTCGAGCGAAGGAGACCGAACGTAAACAAACAGTGACCTACTAGAAGGACACTCCTAATACAAGAATAAAACTTTTTTATTTTCGATTTTTTTTTTTTAAATTTTTTTCATCATATTTGTAACATTTTTCTCATTAAAATGAAACCAAACACGACATACTTCGGGACATATTTACTTGTAATTTCAAGTGTTACGCATACATCGATGATTTTACTCTAATAAGATATTGCAAGTAAATATAACTCAAATTACGTCGTGTATGGTCTCATTTTAATCAGGAAAACATCACGAATATGATGGAAAAAGTTATATAAAAAAATGGATGAAAAATAAAAAAATTAGCAATGCTCAAGTATTGCAAACAATCGAACAGACTTTTGATCTTTGCCGACTGCCACGATCGTAGCGTCTCTTTCTTTTTGACTCGCTATCCTCTTCGACGTGAGAAATTTTTATCGTCAATTAAACCAGTAAATATAGTCCAAATTATGTCGTGTTTGGTCTTCTTTTAATCAGAAAAATGTCAAGAATCTATTGGTAAAAGTTGGATCTCAAAAAAATCAAAATTAAAAAAGTTTTATATTTGTATATGTATTGCTTCACGGATATACCCGACCCCGGATCATGTTACATTTCTCGACGATCGAGCTTCATGGCGTCTGAAAGGGTCTTCCCCCCAGTGGTGGGGATAACTTTGGTGCACATATCGTACAGATCATTTGTGCACATATCGAATATTTACTGTACATACCTACCCCGTAAATGTTACAATCAAGACCGGCGTACCTTTACGATATATGCAAACGGCCACCGTGTTATTTTTCTCTTCTGTCCTTTTCTACGTCCGGCAAGACATCAATCAATGTAGGACCTGTACGATATACGCAAAACCTCAGACCCGAAAGATTTGCGTATATAGAATATCCACTGTACATAAGTGATTTCCTTATATATACAGGTCAAAATACGCAGTATGGTTTGAACTATCCACAAGAAAAAGGAGCAAATCGTATTATTTTTTAATTGTGCCACGATTTTTTGAATAAGGGATATACGGTTTATCTCGATAATTGGTAAACTAGTATTGATCTAGCTGAGAAGATGTGCAAGAGAAAAACCGATGTTGTAGGAACAATGCGGAAAAATAGAAAAGGAATACCATCTGATATAAAATCTCGTATTTTGGAAAAAGGTGAATCTATTGCTAGGTACAGAAACAAAATAATGATTATGAAGTGGAAAGACAAAAGGGATGTAATTAAATTGAGTATTATCCACGAAAATAAATTTGTGGAAACAGACAAGCGAGGGAAAACGATATCAAAACCGGAGCTATTGTTGACTACAACAAAAAAATGGGAGGAGTAGATCTTGCTGACCGACAAATGAAAGCTTATGAAATTGCTAGAAACCGAGTAAAAAAATATTATTATAAAATTTTCTTACACTCACTAGACATGGTGTGTTTAAATGCATATCTCTTATATAAGAAAAATGGCGATCACTTCGACAAGCTTCATTTTCTCATTGAAATTGTCGAAAAGGGAGTCGAAAAATATGGAGGTGAAGAGCAGTTGTCATCTACTAGTACAGGATGTCCTTCTTTGACACCAAAACCATTTAGACTTATTGACAGACATTTTGCGGATTACATACCATTGGACGCTTCAAGAGCAAACGTAATCAGGAGATGCAAATTGCGCTATTCGAAAGGCTTTAGAAAAGAATCGAGATTCTGGTGTTCCGACTGTGGTGTTACTTTGTGTATGCCGCATTGAATTAAGGAATATCCGAAATAATTATTGAATTCGTTCAATTAATTTTTTCTGCATTGAAGTTGTTTGATTTAATATATTATATATTATAAAATATTTCATCGAAATAAATAAAATCAATAAGTTAAAGACCATTTCCTTTTATTAAGTGAGATGTGATGATATTACTTATAATTATGAAGAGAAAGTCGCCATTGTGAAACGAGTTGAGCAAAAGTTTATTCCCCGGTTAACAGGTTAAAAAAGCTTCCCCCACAATACATTAATTATTATACAATTCTATTCAACAACTGCCTTAACCAGCATTACTTTCCGGTCAAATGGAAAACTGCCAAACTAGTGGCAATTAAAAAAAAGGGAAAAGAAAGTAACAACCCCTCTAGTTATCGACCAATAAGCCTTTTGCCTAATATAAGTAAAGTCTTTGAAACAACAGTAAATGATGCCATAAATTCGTTCTGTAAACAGAATGATATTATACCTGAGACGCACTATGAATTTAGACATAAACATTCGACTGTCCATGCCATTTTATATCTGACATCTGTTGGGCGAGGAATGCTGGTGAATGTGTTGGTGCAATTGACTTACAATTAGAGAAAGCTTTTGATACTGTTTGGCTGAATGGTCTTTTCTTCAAACTAATCAAGAAAAGTATTCCGAATCATCTTGTAAAAATGCTCTGGGACATGCTACACAATAAACAATTTGTGGTAGTTGAGGGTGAAAATTCCTCAACTAGAGCCTTCAAAATTAAAAACGGGGTACAACAAGGAACGGTAAATTCCCCCGTCTTGTTTAGCATATTTCTTTGTGATTTGCTGCGCATGTTTGATCTAAACTCGGACGGAAAAAAATTTGCCATTGCTTTTGCCGATGACTTATTAATATATATCAGAGACAATAAAGTATCTATTATACAAAAAGAGCTACAGATAATACTCAGTAAAAT